AGAGTGAGACCCCAACTCAAAAAAAAAAAAAAAAAAGAACTTACGGTCACTGCTGTGGGGCTTCAGCGGCCACATTCTCATATCCACTAAAAATAACACCTGTGTCATCACCACCACTGCTACTCACCCCCAACCTGTTGTGACCTGTAACTGAGCAGCCCCTGGCAGATGCCCCACCCAGCACCAAAACCTCTCCCTCCTCACGCCTGTCCCTTGAGAGAGGCAGGCAAGGGCTGTCCACTGGCCAGACTGTGAGGCAGAAGCCCAGAAGAGACAGTGACCTGGTCAGAGTCACACAGCGGTGCTAAGGTGTGGCAGCCCCAACATGCTCCTGCCTCTCTGCCTAGGGCTGGTTTCTGGAGGCCTTGGTGTCCCTGACCTCCTCCTTCTGACCCTATTGTGGAGATCTGGTTTCCCATTGGCTGGGGCTAAGGGTAGGTAGAGGATGGGTACCATCCTGGATGAGCAAATGTGTGAGACTAGAACAAAAGCAGTACAATTGCCCCAATTTGGGTTGTTGGATTATTCATCACGCTGAGCTGGCATTTCCCTCGGTGTTGGCTACAGAGGAAGAGTCAGCCCAGCAGACACATCCCGGAAGAATCCCTGGGAACAGGCTCTCCTGGGGGGTCATTTGCTCATACAGACAAAGAACCATTGGGCCCTTGCCAGGCTCTGACTGGGCACGGGACACTCCTCTGGGAGCTTGTGCTTAGAGCTAGGCACTGGGGGCTGGATACTTGAGGCCAAGTACTTGGGGCTGGGCTGGGCCTGGGCTCTGCAGCTGGGTACTAGGACTTGAGTCCTTGAGGTTAGGCGCTTGGGCTTGCTTTTGGGAATAACTAAGGCTCCATTTCTTTACTTGCCTATGCAGATGAGCCTGTCTCCTAACCCGACTGTCCTTTCTGTGGCTTCACAGTACATGACCTCACATGTATGACCCTGCCTGCCTCAGCCGTCTGCTCCATGGAGACCCCAGAGGGAAGGGAAAGGGAAGACTGCTGGGGTCTCTTCATGGGGCTTTCCTGGGACCCCTTCTCTCTCCTCCTAAGCCAAGAAGCTTGCGTTCCCTCATCTTCTGCCCCTCCCCCCCAGCCATCTGCTTAAAGGAAGTGGCTCCTCAGTTCTTCACAGGAAGCCACAGGCCTCCTCTGCCTCGGCAACCCCAGCTGTGGCTGCCCCAGGCCCTGTGCTGGCCCAGCCTCCTTTCCAGGCAGACTGGGAAAGCCCTGTTCTTAGCCTCACCCTTTGCTGCCTAGCCAAGAAGTGCGTGCGGCGCGCCCCTCTCACATCCCTTAAATCCTTGAGGCTCGGTTCTGGGAGCACAGGCTGTGGGCCTGGATGTGTGAGACACGACTGCAGAGTCCTGAGTGCCGTGCTCAGGAGTTTGGAGTCCCCGAATTGTAGGACTTGAGGGGCTGGAGGGGAGAGGAGGAGGCAGCGCTGTGGGGATTCTTGGGATGTGCCGCTCCCAGGAGCTCCAGGAGCTCTTGCTGCAGAACAAGAGCAAGGGCTATTCATTTTGGGCTCTAGTCACTGTGGTGGGGCCCGCCCCAGGGAGGGCTGTTGGTAATTGTGGAGCTGCTCAAGGATGACGAAGGCTGGAGATTTCAAGATGGGACTGCACTGCCACCTGGTGGTCAGATCAGCACAGAGCACCATGATATTGTGGGAGCCCTTGAGGGGAGAGGGGACATTCAAGGATACGGGGGTCTAGAAGGCCCTGAAAGAAGAGAAATCCCCAGATAAAGGGATTGCATTAAAGAGCAAAACACCCCTAACTTGAGCATTTGAGAAAGGCATCCTAAGTCTGGTTGAGAGTCCAACTCCTCCCCGTCCCCATTTTACAGACTAGAAAACTGAGGTCCAGAGAGAGATGATGAGGCCAGAAGACCTCAGCACTGTCTTACAGCAAGTCAGTCTGAGATGGGTCTATTTTGGGGCTCATCTTAAGGTGTGACTCCAGAGGGAGGAGCCACCCTGCTAGTTTCTAGTTACCCTCATCTGTGTCCAAACATGGCATCTCCCAGCACCATCACCCACTTTAGTCACCAAAGTTGGCACTACAAAGTGGCTTTCGGCTGCTTCCAAAAATAAAATTCACTCTGAAAGGGCCTGAATCTGACAGGGCCAAGAAGACTCAGAAGCATGTGCTTCAGGCTCAGCAGATGTTTTAGAGCAGGAAGTTCCAGAGGCCATAGTATCTAACACCCCCACCTCTGGTTTTGAAAACAAGGAAGCTGGGACTCAGAGTAAGAAACTTAACTGAGGATACCAAACCCTGGAGCTGGGCCAGGACTCAGCTGTTTATGTCTCTTTAATGTCCATTGCCAGGGATGCATCTAAAAGTGTGTTGACCCAGGTGTGGTGGCTGCAGCCTCGACCTGCTGCACTCCGGTGATCCTTCCGCCTCAGCCTTCCAAGTAGCTGGAACTACGGCGCACGCTACCATGCCCGGCTAATTTTTTGATTTATTGTAGAGATGAGGTCTCGCCTGCCCAGGTGGGTCTCGAATCCGCGGGTTCAGGCAATCCACTCACATCAGCCTCCCAAAGACATGGGATTACAGGCTGAGCCACCGAGCCCGGCTTTTTAAAAATTTATTTATTATAGAGATGAGGTCTCATCCCAGGATTTGGGAGGCCGAGGTGAAAGGCTTGCCTGAGCCCAGGGGTTTGAGACCAGCCTGGGCAGATTGGAGAGACCTCATCTCTACAATCAGTCTATCAATCAATAAAATTAGCTGGCTGTGGTGGTGCATGCCTGTGGTTCCAGCTACTTGGAAGGCTGAGGCAGAAGGATTGCCTGAGCCCAGCAGATCACACCTCGAGCATGCCACTGCACTCCAGCCTGGGCAACAGCCTAAGACTATGACTAAATAAATAGATAGATATTAAAGTGCATCGAGCATCTCTTGACCTGCTGTACTAGTGAATTCTGGTATGTGTCCACCATACTGAGACAAGCTTTGTACATGGAATGATTGTGACCCATGAAGGCTGGCAAGAATGGATGAAAGGAGGTGGGAGCCGGCGAGAAGGTGGCGACAGGGAGGAAGAAGGGGGGTCCTGGATGCTCTGAGGAACTTTTTTTTTGAGTTGAGGTCTCACTGTGTCGCCCAGACTGGAGTGCAGCGGCCGCTCCCGGCCACCGCAGCCTCGACCTGCTGGGCTCTGGTGATCTTTCCGCCTCAGTCTTCCAAGTAGCTGGAACTACAGGCGCGCGCTACCACGTCTGGCTAATTTTTTGATTTATTGTAGAGATGAGGTCTCGCCAAGTTGCCCAGGCGGGTCTCGAACCCGTGGGCTCAGGCAAGCCACTTTCGGCCTCCCAAAGTGCGGGATTACAGGCTGAGCCACTGAGCCCGGCCTGGAGAATTATTTATTTGTGCACCAAATCGGTGGGAACTGACTTTCTTCCCCTGTGGTGTCCTTAGCATCTGCCACAGAGCCTGGCGTGAACTGAGAGCCGAGTAACAGCCTGCAGGATAAAGGCAAGGAGTTATCCTGCACAGGCCCACAGGGACCCTGTGGCAGGTGAGGTCTCCCGGAGAGGAATGGTCATTTCCAGTCATTCAGCCTGAGACTGCCAAGGCCTCAGATCTAAAGTCTGGGGACAGAGCTGTCCCTCTGTCCCATGGGAATACGTGGAGGGGGTGCTTCTGAGGGAAGAGACCCTAAGGTGGTGCCCACCTTTGGGAGAAAGGAAGAACATGGCCTGTGAGCCCCTGGAGCAAAACCTGACTCCAAAATCAGATGATCTAATTTCTGGTTGTCACGTGGTTATTTCCTCCTGGTTGTGCAAGTTCTTAATCATAACTGTAACTGACATTTACTGAGTTCTTGGGTTGTCCTTTCCTTCCTATTCCCAAGGCCTATGGGCTCCATAGGTAAACTGTTCACCCCACCCCAGAGTTCTATGAGGAGAGGGAGGCCTTGCTGAGCTTTCAGAAAAAGTTGCTGTTACCCCCTTTCTCCAGAGCAAGCGTTTGGCCTTCTCCACCTGAGAGCAATCGCTCTCGTCCTTCTTGAGAGAATGGAGACCTGGCCTCCCCAGCTCTGCCTAATCAGAGAAGTAGCAGGAAGCTTCCCAGGGAGAACAGACTGAGCTCTGCGCCCCCAAGCACCCCGTGGAATGGAGCCCGTCCATTCTGCTGGGACAGGGTTAGCACGAGGCTCTGCTGGGAGGAGTCCAGAGGAGGGGATGTCTGAGCTGGGTTTAGAAGGATGGCAGGGAGTTTTTCAGGCAGATAAGCTTCTGAAGGAATTCCAGGCAGGGACACCAGCATGTGCTAAGGCCCAGAAACAAAATCAACTGGTTTTGTTCCAGGAGCTGTAGTTGACTTGAGGGGAAAACAGGGATGGGGTGTGGAGGGGGCTGGCCAGAGCCAGATGGTGTTGGGCTTCTTGTTGCAAAGAGATTCACAGAAGGACAAAGTGTTTTCCGAGAGAAGTTTATTCTGTTTTCTCATCTAGGTCACTGGGGAGAGTGACAAGAAAGTTCCATATTCCGAGCATGGTGGTGCTTGCTTGTAATCACAGCTACTTGCAGGGGCTAAGAAGAGAGGATTGCTTGAGGTCAGGCATTCGAGGCTGCAGGGAGCTATGACTGCGTCTGTGAATAGCAGTGGCAGCATAGCGAGACCACGTTTCAAAGAATAACAACAACAATAAGAATAACAAAATTCGGATTCTAGCTGGAAGAGGGAGGGCTAGGAGGAAAGAGGGATCCTGGTAGTTGCTGGTTACTCCTCGTCCTCCGCGTCCTGGCTTTCTAAATACTTGTGGGTGGTGTAGCCCAGAAGGGCACCGATCTTGCCCATGAGGACACTGCTGCCACCAGCCCCTGTAAAGCAAGCACAGACAGGTCAGGGGGGCCCAGGCATGGGGTCTGGGAACCCAAATGTCTGGAAACCATCGGTCGAGTCCACCCCCCTCATTTCCAGGTGGAGAAACAGAGGCCCTGAGAGCGGACGGGAATTCTGCAAAGTGAAATCCATCTCCACCCTGACTTGCCATCTCAGATCAGAGATGTGTTTCAGAGATGGAAAAGGAAAAATAATGGCTCTCTCACTTCATGTCTGCAGTGAAAACACCATGTTCTTAGTGAGGCTGACAGCGGCCTTTGCTGAGTCCTCACTGTGTGGGTGCTGGGGGCTCATCATTTCATCCTTGTAACAGTCTTGTGACATGTGAGAGGACAATTGTAGCACAGGGATGTCCCTAGACTCGCCCACACCCCTCCCCTCCCACTGCAGGGGTGTGGCCCCCTCTGAGAAGGGCTCTCTTCTTTTGGGCTGGTTCTTTGGACTTTTGCCATCCAGACTTGAAAGAAGATGGAAGGTTCAGAAAGGTGGAAGGGAAGTTTGTCAGGAGCAGGCTTTCTTGAGGTGAGAGAGAGAGACAGCGAGAAGCAGAGAAGCCGATTTTTAAAGAAGAGTCACTGAGCTCTGTGCCTTTCTCCTTCATGGTGTTCAGAAAGTGCAATTTGAGACCAGGATGGAGGTGAGATTGGAAATTCTCCACATTTCTTTGCCACTATGCTCTCTGAGATTGAGCAGATTCAAAACAGGTTAAACTGAGGACGATCATCCTGATTTACAGGTGAGGGAACTGAGGCTCGTTGCGACGTCGTGGCTTGGCCAAAGCATCAGTGACACACCTGGCCTTTGAAGCGAAAAGTGAGGCTTCTGGCGTCATACTGACTGGGTTCGAATCCTGGCTCTGGTTCTAAACTAGCTGGGAAAACTTGAGTGAATGACTGAATTCCTCCGTGTCTCGGTTTCCCCTTATGTATGAAGAAACTCACAAGAACATCCACCTCACGGTGGCCACTGGAGGCCCAGGCTTCACACTCACCGAGGCTCTGCAGCGTGGCCACCAGTCCCCCAGCGGGCACGCCGCCCCCATTCATGACCGCAGACCAGCTCATCAGCGAGGCGGCCACCGAATTGGCCGCGATGCCGGCGCCGGTGAAGCCCAGAGCCGGCAGCCCGGCCACCGCGAGCCCTGCGGGAAGAGGAGGCGGTGAAGGGGCGCCCGCTGCAGGGCCCCGGCCCCGGCCCCGCCCTCCAGGCCCACCTCCTCCCACCGCCATGTAGGTGAGGGCCTTCCAGAACCCCGAGTCGCTGTCACTGTCCGAGCGCTTCTCCGAGCTCTTTTTGCCTGCGGGAGAGAGGACAAAGCGTAGTGGGGTTGGGGACAGCGGGGCCCCTTACTCTGTCTGAGCCTCGAGACCACTCCCAGGGGCAGGGGCCACCACCCTCCTATTCAGAGAGTCCCACAGAGGAGAAGGAACTTTTCCCAAGGTGCCGAGCCTAGCGCCGAACTGGCATTGGATACATTTCCGTCGAGTGGAGAAATTGACAGACCAGAGGGATTTGAACCAGGGAGCCTGGCTACAGCAACCCTGCGTGGTCCACTAGAATCGTTCCTCTAGGCCGGGCGCTGTGGCTCACGCCTGTAATCCCAGCACTTTGGGAGGCTGAGGCGAGAGGACTGTCCGAGCCCAGCAGTTCGAGACCAGCCCGGGCAAATTGGCAAAACTTCATCAATACAATAAATCAAGAAATTAGCCGGGCGTGGTGGCGCATGCCTGTAGTTCCAGCTACTTGGAAGGCTGAGACGGCAGGAGAGCCTGAGCCCAGCAGGTCGAGGCTGCGGTGGCCATGAGAATGCCACTGCACTCCAGTCTGGGCGACAGAGTGAGACTCCAACTCAAAAACAAAATTGTTCTCTAGTTCAGAGGCATGCCATGGTCTCTACACCAGAGATTCTGAAACTCTACACAGGGATCCTGAAACGTTCCTTTCTTGATCCCACACTCCTCCCACCCCACAGGATCCTTACCTGCCCCCACGCCAACGCAGGTGAAGAGCAGCAGGTAGCACAAGAAGAGCGATACCGCCTTCTGCCGCATGGTGGCGCTGCGCGCGGGCTTTGTCGCTAGACCTGGGAAGGCGCGAGAGTCAGGCGATGGTCCCCAAAGCATTTTTGGAGCTCTTCAGCTCTGTTGTTTTCCCTTTGATTTCGGACTGAATCAGTAAAAAAGCAGCGAGCCAGTCGAAAGCCCCACGTTGTTTTGCCTGCACTTCTGACTGACCAGCCACAAGTCAGGGTTCCAACAATTCCCTCCTCGGGCTTGATTAATTTGTTAGAGTGGCTCACAGAGCACAGGGAAACGCTTTACTTACACGTACTGGTTTATTGTAAACGACATTAGAAAGGATACAAGCTGGGCTCGGTGGCTCAGCTTGTAATCCCGCGCCTTTGGGAGGCTGAGGTGAGTGGATGGCCTGAGCCCGCGGGTTCGAGACCCGCCTGGGCAGCGAGACCTCATCTCTACAATAAATCAAAAAACCAGCTGGGCGTGGCAGTGCGCGCCTGTAATTCCGGCTACTCGGAAGGCTGAGGCGGAGGGATGGCCGGAGCCCAGCAGGTCGAGGCTGCGGTGGCCGGGAGCGGCCACTGCACTCCAGTCTGGGCGACAGAGTGAGACTCCAACTCAAAAAAAGAAAGAAAGAAAGAAAGAAAGGATACAGATGAAGAGATGCATAGGGCGAGGTATGGGGGAGGGGGTGCAGCGCTTCCCTGCCCTCCCAGGGGGCGCCAGCCTCTAGGAACCTCTGCGTGTTTAGCTATCTGGAACCTCTCCAAACCCTGTCCTTTGGGGTTTTTAAGGACGCTTCGTTAGGTAGGCATGATTGATGAAACCCTTGGCTATTGGTGATCAACTTAACCTTCAGGCCCTCTCTCCTCCCAGGAGTGGGAGCATGGGCTGAAAGTCTCAACTTTCTAATCCTGTCTTGGTCTTTCTGGTGACCAGCTCCCACTCTGAAGCTATCCTGGGGGCTGCCGACCATCAGCGAACTTATTAGACACTTATCACTCAAAATACCCTATCACTTTGAAGAGTCCAAGGATTTTAGGAGTCCCGTGCCATAAAAGCAGGAGCATGTTAATACATGTTTCACAATATCACAGGGGGTAAAGGAGCTTGCTTGCCAAAGGTCACAGAGCAAATTGTGCAGCCTAGATACATATTCAAGACTGTGAGAGTTTGAAGCCTATGCCCTTGCCTTTATACCACAAAATAGGAAAACACATATGCCCTCAAATTCACCTCTACTGTGACCTTTGTCTGCTCAATTTCCTTAAGTTAAAAACAAAAAATCTCCCACAAAATGACCACTTAGCACTTTATGACTCAAGGTCCCCTGGTACCTATAACAACCCCTTTGGTTGGTACCATTGTTAGCAACCATGTGTTATAGATAAGAAAACTGAAGCTCAGAGAGTTTTGCCACATCCAGCCAGGATGTGGCAAAGTTAGGATTTAAACCCATGATTGATCAATGCCCAAGCCCATGCTTTCAACAACCACTCCACATGACTTCATCTATCCTCAAAGATGAACTCACCGTCATTAGATCCTACAGTACAGGGGCCTCAGAAATCATCCAGTCCTTGAGCAAGTAAGGTGGCTAAATCTGCATTTTACAGAGAAAGTAACTAAGACCCCAAGAGGTGAAGTGAATGAGTTAAGGCCACAGAGAGCTGGTATAGGGCACCTTAAGCTGGGTCTCATGCCTTTTGGAGTTTTGTATCCCTGAAAGCCCCAACTCATCCTCTAAGACTAGTCCCAGCCCGGGGTGCTAAGAGGGACCCGCCCAGGGGTGCTGCCTCCCTGAGTGGGCATCCCAGCTTTCAGAGCATGAGGCCCACAGGGAGGCAGCCTGGCGGAGGGTGACAGCTTAATACCCACACTTCATAGTCCCGGGGTTTACCTGGGAGGAGAGAAGAGAAGCAATCTTCCTGCCCAGAGCCACTGATGGATAGGAGCAGTGATGAGTAAACAGTTCTCTGGCTGAAGGCTGGCCTTTTATAATCCCACTTGGCTCTTCCCCCCTCCCCCCCCCAATCTCTCCAGGCAGCCAATCCCTGTCAGAGTTTCCTTTTCCTGGACTCCGCTGAGTTTTGTTTTCTCCTCTCACAGCTCTGCTCAGCGGCAGGATCTGTGTGCTGTCTGCTGGCAGAAAAGTGTAATTCAAGCTGAGGACTCTCGGAACAGCTAAGAGTATTCAAAGCATGTCACACTATAGTGGGAGCCATGGCCTTGCTGGGCTCAGTGAAACCCTATCACCTGCTCCCCTGGGGGCACAGAGGCCTTTCACAATTCAGTCCAATTAATAACAATAACTACCATTTACTGAGCACTTGCTGCATGCCAGAGTCTGTGCAATGCACTCTATGTACAGGATCTCTTTCCAATCCCATGATAATCTTGTGACATACCATATATTGTTTATAATCCCCTTAGAACATTGGTAATGAGGTCATTTTGTTTCACTATCCTCTCAGGTGGGCTGCTTCTGGGAGATGGGCGTATGGTAAGACAGTGAACCCAGGTTTGTATGGTCATTGTCATCCTTAGCTTTAGGGAATGGGTTGAGCATTCTTTAATGCCTCTGGATGGTGATGCTTGCACTATGGATAAGAAATGCAACTCATATTTGGAGAACGTAGCATTCCAGTAGGGCTGAATCATTGCCTTTTCCAAAGTGGAAGGTGTCTGATGTAACTGACCTGCCACCAGATGGCTGGCTTTTCTCTCTGAGCAATTTTGCCATATTGCTACCTGCTGCTGGCAGGTTGGCTATTTGTTGGCAATTGCCTTGATGAGAGGGAGCCTGTTGTTGGACTTGTTTGTAGCCCCCATTCATGCTACCACAGGCACTCTTATGTAGGTCTCTTGAAAAGCAAGAGGGAGGCTAAGTTTAGAGGCTGGCTGACGAACATGGGATGGGACATCCCAACCATCTGGCTGTGGAACCTCCTGTGCAGTAAAGTATCTCCGACCAGCATTTCTGCAAGGCAGAGAGCCACGTTTGTGCCCATTCCTAGAGTTCCGTCCATATGCCCTGTTCCGTGAAAAGCCTGTATATACGAAGCGATCCCCAAAAGCCAAAGGAGCCAAGAAACCAAAGAAGGAGGCAGACACATCGTTTGTCAGTTTTGGGTGATTTATTGAGGGGACTTACAGACAGAAGCGTAGTCATGAGTAGATCTCCTCACTGTCACTCCCCAGACCCAAGGCTTATCACCAGAGGCGAAGAATACATGCACTCTAAGACAGTGAAAGGCAATCCTCCAGAACAAATAAGAATGCTGAGGCAGCCTAGCATAGAATCTGTGCAATAGCATCAAATTTGCTTTGTTCGAGAAGCAGGAGTGCATGTTCTTACAGTAGGGACGGTAAATAAAATAGAAACCAGGAAGCATTTATGGGACTGGGGCTAGTCAGAAGTCAACATGGCAGATTAGCAACCAAGATGGAGTCACTTTTGTCTCCACAGCCCCTTACCCAGACCTGCTTATTCTCAATCTTCCACTCTTTCTCTTGACCAACTAGCCAAGCCAGTTGTCACTTTACTAGGAACTTCTGTGTATCTATACTTCAGTCCATCTGTCTCTCCATACAAAATGAATGACAAAATATACAGTTCCTGGTTCTGTCCTTTGGGAGAATTCACTACTGTTCTTCAGGGCTACTCCCAACTGGGGCTGTAGTAGAGGGGTCCACTTCCAAGTGGTACCAAAATATTACACTGACTTATCTGTGAATTGGGCTCAATGTCTTTCTTCCATTATCAATTAGTTGCTGGGAACCCTCCATGAGGCTGTAAGTTTAGGTCAAAGGAGAAGTGTCAGAGAAAGAGAGTTAGGGCTGTGGGAATCTGAGCCTCCTGTTCATTTAATTTACTCACGTCTTTCAGATGCCTTTGACCTAACCTTGAATATACCACTTCCATCATTTAGTGAATTGCCGCTATGCCTTTCTACTACTCTCTATCGAAAGACATATAGCTACTTGGAGGCTGGGCATGGTGGCTTATAATCCTAGCACTTTGGAAGGCCAAGGTGGGTAGATTGCTTGAGTCCAGTGGTTCGAGATCAGCCTAGGCAACATAGTGAGACCTCGTCTCTACCAAAAAAAAAAAAAAAGCCAAGTGTGGTGGCACATGCCTGTAGACTCAGCTCAGGAAGCTGAGGCAGAAGGATCACTTGGGCCCAGGAGGTTGACTCTTTGGTGAGCTGGAATCACGCCATTGCACTCTAGCCTGGATGACAGAGTGAGAACTTATCTCAAAAAAAAATCCAGTGTGATCCCCTCCCACAGCTGCTGCGGCCATGAGTGTTAGTCAGGAATCCTAGAGAAGACTGGGGATGGTGCGTGTGCACGTGTGTGTGCTCGTGTGTGTGTGTGGCTAAAATAAGTCATGCTGTCAGCCACACGCGATCTTGTATGAAATCGTGTTTGGAAGTGGGAACGGTTTTGTCCTGTATGCTGATGTGTCCAGAATTTCATTTAATAATGGAAGGAAAATGCAGTTACTGAAAAATGTGTATTGGTACAGAATTTCATAAGAGATATGTTGTTGGGCAAAGCAACCTTCTTTTTCTCAACCACTGCTCATCAGTTTCTGTAGAGTCAAAAATTCTGTACATATTTTGGAATTTGAAGAATTCTATGTAAACCATTTGTTACTTAAATCTGTGAAAAATAAGTTTCTTTGGCAGAAAAAGTATGCATTTATAAGTGTTCTGTGGAATCAGCTGTTTTTATTGAATTGATGTAATTGTCTCTAAGTGTTCAGTGTCTTCACTGCAATATGAAATTTATTAAAACATCCATGTTCCATTAAAAAAAAAAAAAAGGTATATAGCTACTTGGCATATCCAGTGGTGAGATGCTTAGTCACTACTGGGGCCCAGTGACACATCTGGACTTTTTTTTCAAATAGACCATGGTGAGCATAGCCTTACTTCAGAATCTAGGAGTCCTCCCACAAGTCTCCTCTTTGGACTTGCAGAGACTCCCTAAAGAATCTCTATCAAGCTTTACACAGATAACATCCA